TCCCGCCCCCTTGACCTGTCTGTCCTCCCTGGACTGACCTATCTCCTCCCTAACTCCCCACCTACACTCACCTTTACTGGCTCCATCCCTGCCTCTTTGACCTGTCTGTCTCCTCTCCACCTATCTTCTCCTCTATCCATCTTCTATCCGCCTCCCCCTCTCTCCCTATTTATTTCAGAACCCCCTTCCCCTCCCCCATTTCTGAAGAAGAGTCCAGGCCTGAAACGTCAGCCTTCCTGCTCCTCTGATGCTGCTTGGCCTGCTGTGTTCATCCAGCTCTACACCTTGTTATCTCCAATTCCACAGCTTTAAATTGAGGGGTGATAGATATAGGACAGATGTCAGAGGTAGGTTCTTTACTCAGAGAGTAGTAAGGGCGTGGAATCCCCTGCCTGCAACAGTGTAGACTCGCCAATTTTAAGGGCATTTAAATGGTCATTGGATAAACATATGGATGATAATGGAATAGTGTAAGTTAGATGGACTTCAGATTGGTTTCACAGGTCGGCACAACATCGAGGGCCGAAGGGCCTGTACTGCGCTGTAATGTTCTATGTTCTATGTTCTATGTAATTCCATGTTTCTCAGCTTTCCTTAGTATCCTGAAAACAGCATCTTTTATAGACAAAAGCTATTTAGCATCTTGATAGTAAGTGGGAAAACATAACCTTTGAGGCTTTGTTTAACTGCGTACCTAGATGCAATGACAAAAACATTTATTGTCAGAAACTTGATACTGGAGGAGTCCTGTGGGTGGAATTTTTCCTTATGCATGATGGAGGAAGAAAACATTTCAATTGCAAATTGACCATACTTTAGAATCTTAAAACATTTAACTTTTAAATTAAAAAGTGCGATAATACCACTGCACCATTGTACTGCAAATGCTACAGTTGGTCCAAATAGGTTAATAAGTCATGAATTTCATTGTAAATCATAGGGCCAAACTTTCCTACCTTCAAACAATGTAGACAATGACAAGTCAATTGGGAAAATATGGCAAGATTAGAAAATGAGTATTAAAAAGTCAAGAAAAAGAAATTTCTGTCCAAAGCTGGAGATCAGAATGCCATGTTGTGCTCTCCAGTGTATCCAGTCATGGTCATTGAAGCCCACAGAATGGCTTTTCCATGTCAGGCTTCCATGCAGGTCATGCCTGTGGCTTTGGCACTGTACCATCCAGATAGCAGATACCACTTGAACCAGAATCTCTGCTTTGGGTAACTGGAGGGTGTACTGTGGCTATAGGATGGACAATGGGGATCCATGAAAGCTGCAGCCTTGTGCCGAGTGAGAACATGAGGATGTTCCTTAGATGGAACTGTACCTTCAGCATCATACAGCACAGCAACATCGACCAAATCAATTTAGGCAGGACATTGTTTATGAAAACCGTTCAATGAAATCGAGCTGTGCAAAGTCATCTTTCACTGACTGCAAATGATTTGACGCTGCTGAGGCCAGTATCCCACGTATAATCATAACTGTAAGTGCAGCTTAAAGCTTTGATCCTTCGACTCAAGCTGTTCAATAGATGTTAAGGCTACAAATGAATGGAAGCCTTTGCAACATCCAATACTCCCTCACTGAATTATGGTAGCTATGGAAAGGACAAGCTATCTTTTAAAGATAGATTGAACATCTTGTGGTGCTAAGGATGGCTAGTTTCTCTACCTTCATTCTTGCAGCTGCTGCTAAAATTCAATTGGCTCACACAGCTGATAATGAAAAATAATCAACATTTAAAAGGCATCTGGATGGGTACATGAATAGGGAGGGTTTAGAGGGATATAGGACAAATGCTGGCAAATGGGATTAGGTCAGATTGGGATATCTGATCGGCGCAGATGAGTTGGACTGAAAGGTCTGTCTCCATGCTATCTGCCTCTATTAAGAAATATGATAATGCATTTACAATAAATATCATTTGTGTTATTAATGTGCCCTTATAAGGTCTTGTGCCTTTCACTCCTCTACATCTAGATGCAGGTCTGGTGTCTGCAGCTGGGGTGAAGTGACAACCCTTTCTTCCACAGTAACTCATATTCTCAAATGCACTATCGTCTGCATTTCTTATATATTGAGATTCTCCCCCATCATAACTATTTGCATCCCAGCCTGCTGCGTCCAATCTCCATAATTGACATCCCCAACTTTTGTTGACTTGCAATATTGGTTACCTCCAATTACGGTTGTCTCCCTTTAATGGACTGAGGTCTACACTTGTTAGACTTTCAGATATGGTGATTTGGCACGCAGTGTGTTTGCCTAGTAAGCTGCTGAATCATATCAAGGGTGTGATATTGACATAACACAGTGCTGTACAGCACCATGTCTATCTTTTAAACTGATCACTTCTTACAACTAGGACAAGCTACCTGGTTTTGTGCCTGCACTAAATGGCAAGGCAAGGCAGAAAAACCATCAGTCTTTAAGTTCAGAATGAGTTGGCAATGTGAAAAAAAAAGCAAGGCAAGGCAATAATGCTGTGAGCTTTTAAGTAGATGCAGAGTGAATGGGGGTTAAGAGAGCAAGCAAGGAACCCAGAGATGTTCCCTGGTCGAATTCATGAAATGGGTGCCTGACCCTATGCTTTGGAAGCAACATTACAGTAAAAATTTGGAGTGCGGAACCACATTGCAAGGGGGTTGGATATGTGCCATGCTGATGCAAAGAGACTGGCACGTGACTGATGCCAACCTCTTTGAATGGGGCATGTGGTGGTCGATGCCCATGGAACATGCCCGGAGATGGTGATGACTGATTCCAAGATGGTGGCCTGGAGGAGCATGCAGGGAGTTGAGGTTGCCAGGTATCCGTTCCAATGTTCATGTCAGGAATTGTCATTGTCTAATTTATATTCGGCGTTTGGGAGAACAGGAAAATGCATTTCAATGAGGTAAGATTAGGTCTGATAGCATATTATTGTTATACAAGCTGACCTGTTGCTGCTCACTAGTATACTTCTTATGCTGTCCAAAACCTGATTGCAGAATCTGACTCCTTTTTCTCAATGTTGAGGATCTAATTTCTGCTGATCTTGCCATATTTTCTCAACTGTCTTGCCATTGTTCACATCGTTGGGGAGTTGGGAACATACCACCTATATTATTATATTATGATATTGCAACCAAACTGATTTAATTGGTTTAAAAAAAATTCTAGGCATCTAAGTTTGAAATGCTTCTCAGCAAACAAAGAAGGGTGGCACGGTGGCTCACAGCGCCAGGGATGTGGGTTAAATTCCAGCCTTGGACAACTATCTGTGTGGAGTTTGCACATTCTCCCCGTGTCTGCATGGGTTTCCTTCGGTTGCTCTGGTTTCCTCCCACAGTCTACAGATGTGCAGGTTGGGTGGATTGGCCATGCTAAATTGCCCATAGTGTTCAGGAATGTGTAGATTAGGTGGATTAGCCATGGGAAATGCAGGGCTACAGGGACAGTTTAGGGCGATAAGTCTGGATGGGATGCTCTTTGGAGAGCCAGTGTAGACTAGTTGGGCCGAATAGCCTGCTTCCCCCCTGTAGGGATTCTATGAAGTTTCACTCACTGGCATCCTTTTCATGAGTCCTGATGCGACATTCACATAAATGAGAAATAAAATTGAAACTTTGCCACCAATAAAATGCAAAATCACACTGGTCGATAATTTTACCAAAAAGCATGCCTTTAAAATTGGACCCAAAATAAAAAGGTTTGCTTCTGCTTCTTCATTCAGCCTATATAAGACGAAATTTACACCAGCACAGAAATTCAATGGCTGAACATTACTGCCACCTGCAGTTTTTTCAGCATCATTGATAATTGACAATATAATTCTGAATACAATAGGCTAGCTATACCGAGTCTACCATACCAGCAGACCCATGATTATGCTATCGTGGAGTGTGAACAAATATTTGAAGGATCATTTGCTCTTTCCCAACTTCAAGCCAGATCACCATTGAGACAGCATGAGGGTGAGTAAGATATATGATTCAAAATAAGATGAAATACATGTATGGTGGATTATTCCTTAAAAAATTCAAAATAATGCTTTGTTTTCTATTATGAGAAGATATTTATGATTGTATAATTATTATATACGAGATTATGATTATATAAAAGTTAATATTAATGGCAATTTCAGATTTTTCCTTGTCTTAAAATTGCTGCTGTGAACATTTATGGCTTCCTGTTTTCTTGTCTTTTACAGAATCTTAGCACTACTCGTAATGTAGAAAACACACAGCACCTGTTTAGGTAAGAACCTATTCAGTTAAAATACAAAGTAATTAATGTAGGAACAAACTAACCCCAGAACACTAGGTGATGCTCTAGCACTGTTGTTGTATCAGGATAATGTAACATCTCATGCTTTGTAAAGGAAATAAAGCAGCTATGATAGAGAGGCTGATGCATTCCAGCTATCCTGGTTGGATTGTGATCTGTCAGTCAGCCTCTTATCCCCAACCCTATTCACTTGTCCAAAGGGTTGAGTGCCGAGGTTGTTGGTGGCTGCTTGTACTAGATCTGGCAGTTGAGCAAAAATCAGTATGAATCTCACCCGAGGGACTATGAGGATGCCCTGCCTAAGTGTGTCAATGCAATAGTCATGTGGCTGTGAATAACAGCAAGCTCTGATCATGAGAGGAGGAAACCTTCAAGCAACTACTGTGCTTTTTTCACCTGCAGTCTCCTTGACTCTTGTTTAACTGTTAATTTTGGATTATCTTCGGCATCTTGTATTCATCACTACTTCCTGAAAAAGTCACCATACACCTAGGAGCAGCACCACTTCAGCTTGAATAAGGACTCACTCTGGAGAGAGGAAACCTGGCAGATTTGTTTTATATCAGCAAATCAAAAGTTGTGAATGGATTTTATTTGGTCTGACCTGAAAAAAATCACCTGATGCCTACTAATTCGGTTCTATGGACAATGTTAAATATTGATTAATTAAATATCTTCAAATTAAACAAGTTTATATTAGATAATATTTATGTTTCACTGACAGAAAGATGTTTTTGCTTTCAAAAAATTCTACAAATTCAGATGGTAAAATAATGGTGAGAAGGTTTCTTGTAACCTTAAGGCCTTTCAGGTAAGTTTATCTTCAAGTTTTTTTTTTCAATTACACATATAAAATAATTTAGCATTGATGATTGATATGACTTGTGTGGAACACTTGTGGTCAATGTTTGTGTCAAGCAAAACTTACGCTTTAATCTCATTGTAACTGCTGCTGTTCTAGATTGTATGGTTATGAATCTCAGTTAATGTTTTTCATTTTGGTATAAAGACAGGTTTCCATGCTAGCAACACTTACAGTATTTACGTTTGTAATGCTCTGGGACCACTCTAAATCAAATGATGCTTTCTATTCAATGCAGCAATTGAGCTTGAGATGAATCTACGAGAGGCAGACAATACCATATTCTCTGTTTTTCATTCATAGAAAGTTACATTTAAAACATAGAGGGTAAGGTGTGGAGTTGTGGCTGAAGGGTGGGGGCACCAGGAGACAGCTAGTCACATTGAAATCACTCACCTTCCCACTATGAGATGCCACTTGTGTTTCAGAATACATCGTGGTATGATTGATCTGGTTTCTGTATGCTACTTCCACGGGGTCATGGTGTTAAGTACATGTTCAAGGATATAGCTAGGGGTGGGGGAGGGGACGGAGCTTGACGTTTGTTCAGTAACAATTGAAAATACAAATCTATAAAACATCAGTGTATGAAATGCTACGTAAATATGTAAACTAATAGTCTCGCAAAATCATTAAAACTGAATTTCAGAAAGGGTACATTTTAAAATATTTGTCGTAATTACATTGATATTGATTACAGTAATTTGTATGGCAAAACCAGAATGCTTTCTTCAATTGATGAACTTTATGAAGCAATTGATTATTCTTGTATTGCAAATTCACTGCAGACAGCTTGGGAACATATTCAAAAAGGATGCTCTGGAGTGTTATTTTTAATGTTTAACAGACATTTCTGTTTCTGTGTGTTGATCTGAAATTTAAGATGACCTGTTTAACAATATCCAAATGGTAGAGAAAAAGATGTGTATTTCATATTGAAAAAAAATGCAGAAGTATACCTAATTATTACTGCCAGAAATTTAAAATTGTAGAGTTAGGAATTCATTGCTTTTAGGGAAAGTACTTCTGAGAAACAAAATATACAAATAAGAGAATGTTCCTGTACCTTTTGATGACATTCAGCTTCAGATACTTAATACCTACATATTCTTCAGGAGCTGGACTTGATCTAATTTCATTGTCAACATGTGGTACAGTGACAAAAGTAATAGGATCACTGTTATATCAGAGCCATTTTAGGGTAGGCATTGAAACAGACGTATGTCAGAATAAATAATTTGGGGATGTGCTTCTACACAATCCCTCTCATGTTTTAAATTATTCACCTACTTCATCTCCTGCCTGAAAGCCAACAATTAAATGAAGGGTTAGTCTAGAATGAAACTAAGCTCAAACATTGATTAAACAAATGGTACTGTTCATTTTATGCTTTGTATCAAACATAAAATGTGTTTTCTTAAAATATATTAGAAATAAGTTGCCACCTCAGATACATTATGTCAATCTTTAAGATTTAGTATATGAGCATAGACAGCAGAAATACATCTAGAGTTCTTAGTACATTATGCTGTTCAGCAGGTCACATAGTACCACCATGCTGTTGAATCCAATTATGTATTACTAAGTTAGAATGAAGTATGGTTATACTTTTAAGCAAACAGTCAAAGTGTACAAGTGAATAAAGTAAAATTGTAAATTGACAACAGTATACATGCAATCAATTATACAACATAGAACTCAGTATATTTCTAGTATTCACATATAGTAGCTAACAATAAAGCCAAAACTTGTACTTTAATCTGATATGCTCTCTGCTTGATTCTAGGTTATTTGTGGCTGGAATTGGATTCTTCACCCTCTGTTTTATAATGACCTCCTTTGGTGGACAGTTTACAGGCAAGAGAGTGGGAGACTCACCTTTTGGCATTAGACAATTAGGTATCAAATCTGAAGGTAAATGCAGATTTATGTCAAGTGCCATTACATTAACCTATTTACTGCTATCCATCTCTGACAAAATTAAAAGAAACTGGACATACTCCAGCAAATTTGTCAAACGTGATTTCCCTGTAACAAAATCTTGTTGAATATGTTTTATTGCATTAAACTTTCCTCAATGTCCTCCCATTTCTTCCTTAATAGTTGGCTCTAGCATTTTCACAATGACAGCCATTAGGCTAACTTGACTGTAGTTTCCTACTTTCTTTTTGGGATTTGGGGAACAAATTCCAGCCCAGGGCCACTGATACTTTTACCATTGACCATAGGTGTGAACAACCTGAATCTCTTCCCAGTAGAACAACATTGATCCCTTTGAAAAGGATGAGTGTTCGCCCGATACCAAGTAATGCCTTAAGAGTAACTGTCTTGATCAAAATGAACGATTTTTATTCAAATACAAGGAGAGGTCCAATTTTTTCAAATGATCATTGGGGTTCTACAGTAAAGAAAATAGGAGCAGGAGTAGGCCATTTTACTCTTTGAGCCTGGTTCGCCATTCATTATGATCATGACTGATCACTCAATAACCTGTTCCCACTTTTCTCCCATATCCTTTTGTCCCTTTAGCTCCGAATGCTTTACACAACTCCAATTGAAATCATACAACGTTTTGGCCTTGACTGCTTTCCGTTATATAAATTCTACGGGCTCATCACTCTGGGTGAAGAAATTGGTCCTCATTTCAGTCCTAAATAGTTTACCGCATATGCTTAGACTGTGACCTGTGGTTTTGGACTCTGCTGTCATTGGGAACAACCTACTTGCATCTGCCCTGTGTAGTCCTGTTAGATGTTTATAGGTTTACACGAGATTTCCCTCCCTCTTATTTTTCTGAACTCCAGCAAATATAATCCTAACCAATTCAACATCTCCTCATATGCTTGTCCTGCCATCTGAGGAATCAGTCTGATAAAACTTTGCTATACTCCCTCCATAGTAAGAACATCCTTCCTCAGATAAGGAAACCAAAACTACTTGAGGTGTGGCCTCACCAAAGTTCTGTATAACTGTAGCAAGACATTCTTGCTCCTATATAATATTTGAGCAGTCAATGTATGTAATTCCAGAGGTTTATTTGACAAGCTCGTTCCTTAATTACATCATCTCCCCAATTTACTGTCTTCCCTGACTTGCTACCTCTTAATTAGATTATTCATGTAATTCTTTATGTTTAACAGGCAAGCTGCTAGCTGCTTTAAGTTTTAAACCAGGTGTCACATATTTCCCGTATGTCAGCCTCCCGTTCACCCTTTAACCTTTAAAAGCAACCACCCAAGATTGTTGGAGGGTAGAATTTATAGGAGTTGCCTTTTCATTCCTCTATTTTACCAGAAATTGTTGTCCCAAAACATAACAACGTTATAAACTTTGCATTTGAAACAATGATAGTCACCTGGCATTGGAAAATATTCTTTAATTTTCTTGGCAATGGTAACATTAATTAGAATATAATAACCAGCAAGTTCAATGATAGAAATTACAATCTCACCATGAAAACACTAAAATATTCATGCAGGAAATGAAAGTAGTATACTCTGCATTACAAAGTTCCGACAGCTAATTGCATGAAGGGGTTGAAACTTTTAAGTGCAGAACATTCAATGTGCATTGTTTTCATGTTGCCTCCTGAAAATAAAAGCAATAATGTTGGCATAAGAGGTGCAAGCAAACTATATAAAATAAATATAGTACTATTTTTGGCCCAGCAGCATCATTTTAAGATAGAAGTAAAGATTTTCTGTTACATTTAGTGTGAAAGTATTATCCACTCATTGTTACACTGCTCACAATTTGAATGGAACAACTTGTGGATGTGAAAGAATGATAGAGTAAATAACAAATCCTAGGATTTTTGCATGTTCTGCAGTGTGAAAGTCCGCTGGGATAAATGTCTGCTCACTGCTTTAGTTTTGTCAGGACTGCGTGCCAAATTGCCAGGGCGTGGTAATTTGAATATTTGGTGTCAGTTGCCTGGACCTGAAAAGTTGCGACAAGCTCAGGTCATCCTATTCTGTGTCTGGAAGTTTAGAGCTATCTGATGCAGTTAAAGTAAGGCTTTAATATGGTCAAAGTTTTACATTAGGCACAAATAAATGTACCTTTTGCTTTAATTCATAGCATGAAGGTGATGAATGGATGCAAAAATGCTTGAATAAATACTTTGTGTGATTTCTTTGGTTTTGCGCTGTGATTGTGCCTGTTGTTATCAATAGTAATTCTTACGAAGTAATTCAGGCTGTTTCCTTAGGTTAGTGTGTACACCCTGTGCTTCAAAGAATACTTTCCCAAGCATTTGGGAAAATTAGTGGTATGGCCAATAATTGCTTTAACTTTGTTGTTAGGCAGGTATGTTTCATTTTATTGTGATTAATCACATATCTAAATGTAATTTTACTTGTCTTGGAAATTTGGCATAAATTTTAAGCGTTTTAGATGCTTTATTTAAATTTCTGAAATTATGTAACAAAAAAAGTACATTTCTTTAGATTTCCCCAGCTTTCCAAATCTAACAGTATTATTTTCTGTCAGCTTCTGCAACTTTCATGAGGTCTCAGAAATAGGCACAAACTAGACTAGAGAGCACACGGCAATGCACCAAAGCAGGGTAAAATGTGAGGCTGGACTTAATCTGCTGGCAGTGGAATGTTTACAGTGAACTAGACCTATTGATTTTTACACCAATTCCAGAAAATCAGCCTGATCACTGACCTAGGAAAAAATTACTTCAATGTTTGGGAGATTTTGAAAATCTGTTTGATATGTCTGAGGCTGATCCCTTCTTGAAAAAAAACAATATATTTTCAATGATGTATAAGTGCATGTTTCTCTGCACATTGTTTTGCTTAGCATTTACAACTGAAAACCAGGTGATGCACTGAGTTATTTATCTTAATCATGCTTGAAACTGTAATATAATGCAGTTACCCATAGTTTTTCCTGCAGTTTATTTAGACAGTTCAATTTTAAATTTAAGATCTATTATCTGTTGAAGCATTATTTTCAATAACTTTTAAATGCTCCTTTAGGATGTGACTTCCCATTCATTGCACCAGAATCCTTTGTTTCACCTAATTCACATAAATAAATAGTTTTCTGATGTTCGTTTATCTTTTTGTTAACTTGTATCTGAATCATTCCTGGCATTTTGTCTTTCTCTTTCTTTATGTCGTATACTGCGCTGAGAAAAACTCATTGGGTGGAATTTTCCCCCACCTAGTGTGGGGTGACCATTGTCAATTCAGGTGGAAAAATACAGAGAGAAGGAAAACATCAGAATCTCCAATGTTGAGGTTTTTTCTCAATTTTCCCATCAAATCTTAAATGGTGACTTTAGAATCTCACCATTAAGTGGTATCTACCTTACTTGCATGCATTTAGGAGCAAATTACTGCAGATGCTGGAATCTGTACTGAAAATGACAGATGCTGGAGATCACAGCGGGCCAGGCAGCATCCATGCAGAGAGAGCGAGCTAACATTTTGAGCCGAGATGACTCTTCATCAGAGCATGCATTTAAATCTATTTAAAGTCCCAACTCACCTTGATTACATGTCACTTCCATTCTCACCTTTCCCAAGAAACTATATCATGCAAACTCTATATGTGTAACAGGCTGAGTACCTGGCAGCTGCAGGTCACTGAATGCCAGTCTTGGCCATCCTACAAATACTTCCTCACAGCAACAAACTACATTCTCCATGCTGCCATCCTTTTCGACCCATCACCTACACAAGTCACCTTTGACAAACCACCACCAGCCTCACCATATCACCATGCCTGCTCTACACTAACTCACGCACCACTTCAATACTTTATCCTGGAGCTCAGGAGCATGTATGACATGCATGATTCTGTCAGGTCACTGCAGGAAGAGATACCTATGCATTATCCACCTGCATAGAATGCATCTTATGGTTCTTAGCTTGCTTTAGTAGTGTTCACTCACTTAGCACTTGCTCGGAGGCTGCCAGCCTCTGTCTACATCACACTGCTTTCTTAGCTGCCCAGTTAGACGCTGCTGTCTTCTGTGGTTTACATTGCGGGCCAGTGCAGAGGGAGAAGCAGGCAGCTTTTCATGATGAAGAGCACAAAAGTCAAGGGGGTAGACATGTCACTGTGTGGCACCCTGCTAGGTCAAATTCACGCCTGCAGACTGTGCTAGGAGTTTACATGGCAAACACACTGCCTGTGTTTCAAACAAATGGTCATGTGTGAACGTCAAAGGGAGCAGCATTATTGGGGTGAAGGGGAATTATGGTCATTCAGAGGTTAATGTCACAGTGAGTCAATGGGCTTGCACTATTCCAATCCAGATGGTTGACCACTGTCAGTTAGACACTTGGTCCAACCAGAAGATACCAGGGATCAAATTCCTTACAGTGCGGAGGTTAGAACATGGTCAGCCCTGCCGTCAAGTGCGACCAGTCTCAAGATTCCTGTTAAGTCAGTCAGGTTACGTGGAGACATCAGCCTGGGGGATCTGCTAGTTTTTCATCCAATGAGGCAAAATAAGGCATTGAGTGTAATGAAAGCTGATGCAAGAACAGTTAATGAAGGTAATGAGGTGCTCCCAGTGAATGAGTAGGAAGCACAGCGGCACAGAGGGCAGGACAAGTTTGCGGTTTGGGAGGTTGAGGTGGCTAAGATTATTGAGTGGACATTTGGCATGCATTAGTGAGAGGTTCCATCAGTCTTAGTGAGAACATGTGCAGTGGAAGAGTTGGAGTGAGTGATGGCCCTATGAATGTGATGCAGCTGAAAGAAGATGGTGGTCTTGCAGAATGGCAAAAATCATTGAACTGTTTTCTGCATTGCACAGTATCCTGCTTCACTTAACACTACACTGACCTGGGTTGCAATTTGTGACCTGCATTTGGACAGAAAATTCAAGAACAATTACAAGAGTACTTTACATGCAAAAGCTAAAATGATTTTACTTCACAGCAGAGTAT